TGGAGTCATTCGACCTTAGGGAAGATGACACATGCGAGTCTTGTTTACTTGGAAAGATGACTAAGTCACCCTTCACAAATACTTGTGAAAGGGGTGAGGGGCTATTGGACCTAATACATACCGATGTATGTGGACCCTTTAGATCAACCACGAAGGATGGGAACCGCTTCTATGTGACTTTTACCGATGATTATAGTAGATATGGGTATATCTATTTAATCAAGCAAAAGTCAGAAACCTTTGAAAAGTTCAAAGAGTTCAAGAATGAAGTGGAGAATCAATTGGGCAGGAAAATCAAGATGCTTCGATCCGATCGAGGAGGAGAGTACCTAAGTCTTGAATTCCACGATTATCTCAAGGAGTGTGGAATAGTTTCGCAATTGACGCCTCCTAGGACACCGCAGTTGAATGGTGTGGCAGAAAGGCGTAATCGAACCTTATTGGATATGGTTCGCTCTATGATGAGTCGTGCTTCACTACCTATCTTCTTTTGGGGGTATGCCTTAGAGACTGCCGCCCATATCCTTAACCGAGTCCCTACTAAGAAGGTTGCCAAAACACCTCACGAGATGTGGACGGGGAAAGCTCCCTCGTTGGCACATATCAAGGTTTGGGGTTGCGAGGCTTTCGTAAGACGAGATACTCACGACAAGCTTGAACCTCGAAGTGAGCGATGTATTTTCATCGGCTACCCGCAGACATCCTTTGGATATCTCTTCTATAGACCGAAAGACAATGTTGTCTTTGTTGCGAGGAGAGGAGTTTTCCGAGAGCGAGAACTCATAAGCCAAGGAGACAGTGGGAGGCAAATCGAACTTGAAGAGATTCAAGAGTCGATAGATGAAGGAACCTCTACCACTGGCATTCAACCCGAGGAGGAAACTCCGGTTGAACCGATTGACGAATCCTTACCTCTTAGACGTTCCGATAGAGTTAGAGTTCATCCCCAGTTTTATGGTTTTCATATTACTACCGAAGGGGACACGTATATTAGTGATGGTACACTAGTAAATCTTGATGAACCTAATAGCTATAAGGAAGCCATGGCAGGCCCGGAGTCTGCGAAATGGAAAGAGGCAATGGATAGCGAGATCCAATCCATGTACGATAACCAAGTTTGGAATTTGGTTGATTATGTGCCCGGACGTAAGACCGTTGGGTGCAAAGTGGATCTTCAAGAAGAAGACCGACATGGATGGGAAAGTACACACGTATAAAGCGCGATTGGTTGCGAAGGGCTTTACTCAAACTCCAGGAGTTGACTATGATGAGACCTTCTCACCAGTTGCGAAGATTAAATCTATTAGAGTGATGCTAGCAATTGCCGCATTTCATGATTATGAAATTTGGCAAATGGATGTCAAGACCGCCTTCCTTAACGGAAAGTTGGCTGAGGATGTTTACATGGCTCAGCCAGAGGGGTTTGTGGATCCGAAGCATCCAAATAGAGTGTGTAAGCTTGAGAAGTCCATTTATGGACTTAAGCAAGCGTCTCGCAGATGGAATCTTTGCTTCGATGAGAAAGTCAAAGAGTTTGGATTTGTACGAAGCGAAGACGAATCTTGTGTATATGTCAAAGCCAGTGGGAGTATAGTAAGCTTCCTCGTTCTATATGTCGATGACATATTACTCATAGGAAACGACATCCCGACTCTGCAGGAAGTCAAGTCCTGGCTCGGGAAGTGTTTCGCTATGAAGGACCTCGGAGAGGCTTCTTACATTTTGGGAATAAGGATAGTAAGAGAAAGAAGTAAGAGACTAATTGGACTTAGTCAGAATACTTACTTAGAGAAGGTACTAAAACGTTTTAGTATGGAAAACTCAAAGAAGGGAGAACTACCGATACAAGGAAATGCCAAGTTGAGTAAGACTCAAAGTCCGAGTACTGAAGCTGAAATAGCAGAAATGAGCCGAATACCATATGCTTCCGCAGTTGGCTCAATCATGTACGCTATGACTTGTACTCGCCCTGATGTAGCCTTCGCTTTGAGCATGGTTAGCAGATATCAAGGGAACCCTGGCAAAGCACATTGGATTGCGGTGAAGAACATCCTTAAGTACCTTCGGAGGACGAAAGAATGGTTCTTAGTCCTTGGAGGGAGTGATGACTTGAAGGTGCGAGGGTATAGTGATGCCAGTTTTCAGACCGATAGGGACAACTACCGTTCGCAGTCGGGCTGGGTCTTTACCCTAAACGGAGGAGCAGTAACTTGGAAGAGTTCCAAGCAAGAAACCGTAGCTGATTCAACGTGCGAATCAGAGTACATCGCAGCGAGCGAAGCGTCGAAGGAGGCAATATGGCTAAAGAACTTCATTGGTGATCTTGGAGTTGTGCCTGCCATAAAGGAGCCCATGGAGATTTTCTGTGATAACGAAGGTGCGGTTGCCTTGACCAAGGAACCGAGGGATCATGGTAGATCTCGACATATCGACAGAAAATATCACTTCATTAGACATCGTGTAGAAGAAGGACAACTCATAGTTAAGAGGATATCATCAGAAGATAACCCAGCAGATCCGCTTACGAAGGGACTGAGTAGGGTTAAGCACTTGCAGCATGCTAGGAGTATTGGGCTGAAGGATGATATTAGTATAGATTAGATAGTTTAGAAACGTATAATAGATAAATGTAATTAACATTTGATGATTAAATAAAGGAGTTTTATTTATAAGTAAAGTTACTGTCATATGTTAATTGTTTAACTATTGTTTCACTTTGCATGTTTTGACTTCCAGAATAATTGATTTATTAGGAATAATCGAATTATTCAAATTGTCCACAATCGTTCATATGTTGGAAGTAGATATGAATGAAGATTGTCATGAATTGGTGTGTAGATTGTCTAAATGGTGTTAGACATAGCAAGGGTTGCTGCAACGTTCATGAGTGCTTATGAACTGGTTTTGAGCATTGGAACAAACCCGCGCTTGCTGGAATCACTTTATGGAATACGATATAAAAGGTGATCGCAAGACGATAATATCATATAGTCTTAAAACCTAGATATATGGTTTATTATTTGTTAATTGATTGTACATTGATAATGCGAAAACGCATCAGTAACTTGGTGTTATAAAACGCATTGTTGTGTATAGTTGGTTAATGAATAAGTAAATGCATATAAGTCGAAGTTTATCTGTAAATTTTATCCTAAGAGGGTAGAAGAGATATCTTGGCCACTCGATGATTTGATTTGACTTATGTGCCGGGCCCGGTCAGAACTGAATTGATGTGTTTGATTAAGTTCTATGTCGAATAAATCGGAGATCGAGAAATCAAATGCTAGACTAACCATTCCATAGGATTGTCAGCATGATATCTAACAGAGGACTGTACGATCCCTTATCTAAAGGACAAGATTGATTAGATCAGAGTTTGATAGCGTCTTTGAGAGCTACGATTGCAAACCGAATTGTACTTGTATAGTTACTAGACTTATCCAAGTGGGAGACTGTTGGAATAGTGTCTAAGGCTGCAACTATATTAGGCAAGTATTTGATCCGGTTGTGCATGGTCCTTTTGGGTTGCCTTCACCATAGCAACTTGATGGATGATTTGTTAAGAGAGAGTAAATATTATAAGGAATAATATTGGTTATTTGATTAATATAAGTCATAGATTAATTGGAATTAATTTGGTGACTTAAAGAGATTAATTAAATAAGAGGGTATAAACTGTCAATTGTTTGATAGTTACACTTTAGACTATAAATCCTTATCCAAGATAGGATGGACGATTTCTAGGGCTTGGATAAGCCAAAATCGTCCATAGGGTTATCAAGGAAAGGATATGGATCAACTTAAAGTCTAAGTTATCCAATTAGGGTTAAAACTGTAATCCTTAAGGAGTCTACAAGTATAAATAGACCCTAGGGGTGAGGGAATTCGACACACCATCTAAAGTAGAGATACTCTGGTCGAATTCCTCCCCTCTCCTCTCTCCTAAATCATCCTTCTTGCTATTGGTGTTTGTAAGCCATTAGAGGAGTGACATTTGTGACTCTAGAAGCTCCAAGACAACAAGATCAATAAGGAATCCAAAGGTATGATTCTAGATCTATTTCAATGTTGTTATTTAACCTAATTAGCCATTAGAAGTCTTGGATTCAAAGCATGTTTAATTAGAAAGCCTAGATCCAAACATTAGGGTTTTGCATGCGCACATAGGAAAGTTCTTATGGCTAAAACCCATCACAATTATCCTATTGTAATCTTTTGTATTAGGTAATGATATAGATAGGTATAGCATAGATCACATATATGTTATATTTGTGATAAGATCAGTTCTTAGTATAAATTATATGAAGTCCCTTGAATCATGGGATTGATATGTATAGATTATATATATATATATATATATATATATATATATATATATATATATATATATATATATATATATATAACATTAGGGAAAACCCTAATGTTGTGAACATGGCCTAGTGTCGTAATCGTCTTTTTGACAACCATCTTTTTGGTAAGGACAAAATCAATTTCTTGGTGAAAGAAACAATTTGGAAACAAGAAGCCATTGAATGTACTTTGCTCAAAATTTTCTTAATCAACAGATTGACTGCATTTCTGGAAACAAAAAGCCATTGAATGTTCCTTATCCTCGTTGTCTTGGCCTAATCTTGTCTCGAGAAGAAGGATATGTTGAAAGTCATGGAATTATTATTCCAATTCCTACCCTCTCTTAAAAAATTAACAATGCTGTTCCATCTAAAGGCAACTTGCCTATTACAACACAGATGCAAAAATGGATTGAACAAACTTATATGGTTGAATCCTCAGACTCTGAATAAGATAATGATAAGGATGATGATAATAATGATGATGATGCTGGTAATAAAGAAGGAAATGATGATAGGTAAGATGCTAAAGAAGAAGAAGAATCAACCACTAATAAGGGAGAATGGTTTGCTCAGGGAATGGACTCTCCCCCAAGGATGAACAAGCACATTCATTTTTTAACTAATTCTTCATCCTCTACTGAGCCAATGATCCAAGAAGAAATTTCAACAAAACCGTCTCCTTTTCCTCAAGCTGATATAGTCCCCCCTGCGCCAAGATCCATTACTACAGCTGCTCTTCATCAGGGTGATCAGTAAGCATCCAACTCCATTTTTCAAAATGTTGTGCTTTCCCAACTCTCTCTAATTGTGCAGATTAATCAGTGAATGGATAGAAGGTTAACAAAAGTTGAAAGGGATGTGGCTACAATGAAACGATGTATGGCTTTAGGCGATGATGATGATATGGTTGTTGATGAAGCCCCGCTAAGCTCTCCAGGTGATCAACTCATCCACCTCCACCCCATCAAAAAATCTTCCTCCACCACCTCCTCCACCATCTAATTATCCTCCTAAAACTCCACCATCACCTCCTACCTATCCTACCCAATCTGATTTTGCCAAAAAGGGGGAGAATAATCAAGGGGATCCTCAGCCAATGCAAATGCAAGTGATGATTGTACAAACTCCATATCAACATGAGATGACTAGAAGGGTTGAAGCTGAAGCTAATCCTTAATAGTAGATTGTTGTTGTTGATATTACAAATGCTAATGCTATAAATTATCAACCTCTTCCAGACACTAGGATCAATAAGAGATAGAAGACTATGAAGGGGTTCTTGATCTTGGCTTTATGCCACAAGTTGTTGTGCCTGCCGTTCCTGTGAGTGCTGTCTACCATGAATCTTATTTTAAAGGGGGAGTTCCTCAAGGAACTGATATTGATATTGAATCTGATAATGATAAGCTCAATCCTTGATAGAGGAAGGCTTCCTTCTCAGGAGGAGCTTATGATGTTGAAGTTAGAAGCTCTTCTGCTGCTGCTGGTGATCTTTCAACATCTCCTCATAAAAAGAAAAGCATACTCATCTTCGATCTAAATGAACTAGCAAAAACATGGAGTTTATCTATTAAGGAAGTTAGAGAAATAATCATAGAATATAATGCTGCTGTTTGTTGAAAGAAAGAAGAAAGAAAAGCAAAACGTCTATCTACCAAACTTGCTCAAGATCTTGCCTCCGTTGATGAGAATGCAAATATTCAAAGAGCTGATAATCAGGTCAAGAAAATCTTCAATAATAAATAATGTGGAGAAACAACACATTGTTTTAGACCTGAATGACCAGCCTGATAGGAAGAAGTTTGGAGATGTTCTTACTTGCAGGTTAAATCCTGATTCTATCATCAAAGTGAGATGCACCAAACCGATGACTTAGTCACTAAAGATTCACTTGGTTAGAAAGAAAGCATAATATGAATACACTGAAGTTGTTTATGCTCATGGTCTAGTCAAATTTGGCTATAGTGAGTGGATGCAAATTCAAGAATTCATCGACAATCACAAGGATATTCATGCTTAAGAAGTAAAGTTGGCAATTCAACAGCTGCTTAACAAAGTCAAGAAGTTGAACCTTATCCTATCCGTTGATTAATCTAGACCATCCTCATAAGGAAGAACAGGTGCACCTAGATAGTCCAATAATACCGAGTTTCTTCTTCCTCATGGCACTAGGTACATCAACAATAAATTTCCAGCGGGTGTTGAACCAGTTCAATATAAGTTCATTCCAGAATTGGAGCATGACATTTTTTTTATCTTGACAGTTAAAATCAGATGTGCTTTCAACACACTGATGATCTTCCTTCTTCTCCTACCGAACATTTGTTTCATCAAATGCGCTTTCAAAATCAAAACCGGAGCATGAAATTTTCTATCTTGACAGTCAAAATTAGACGTGCTTTCAAAATCAGAACCAGAGCATGAAATTTTCTATCTTTACAGTCAAAATCAGATGTGCTTTCAACACACTTGTTCTTTTGATGACTTTGAAGATGATTAGTTTTGATATCAACAGATATGGGGATATCGTAAGGTTAGAACTTATGATCTGATGAGTCAAACACACGACACACTGATAGATCAACATTAGCGTCTACTACATCCACAACGCCACCGTATCAAGCTTATCAATGTCAACTTATAGTACAGTTATCCAATTGTATTCTTTTGTATAATAGGTAATGATATAGATAAGTATAAAATAGACCACATATCCAGTATCTTTGTGATAAGATCGGTTCTTAGTATAGATTAGATGCTATGCATATATATATATATATATATGCATATATATATATATATATATATATATATATATATATATATATATATAAAATTAGGGAAAACCCTAATGTTGTGAACATGATGTGGTGTCGTAATCGTCTTTATGACAACCGTCTTCTTGGTGAGGAAAAAACCTATTTCTTGGTGAAAGGAATAATTTGGAGAACTCCACATGTCTTTTAAATTTTGTTTCTTCATTTTTCGTTGTTTAAGTTTCATTTTAGTCTTTATACTCGAAGTGTATCTGATCGATACAAACCTTCAATTACAAATGATTGAGTTAAGTAATTGCAGTTCCTATTGGGTTGAGGTTGTGTTAGGTGGGGTTCACCACGCCCATGAGATTCTAGATTTTGAATACCTTTCAGCGATGTAACATGATTTGAGTGATTCTAGCGAGTATAATTCAGGGAATTGAATTTATAAAGTGTTAGCCCCCACCTATTTTTCCTTCCATAATAGAGTGCTATTTCCATACTTGACAACTTGGTGGAAAAGCACCTCAAAGGGTATGCCAATGTTGTTAACATGTTCGAGTACTTTGATGATGTTAAGCCATACATTAGGTAGTGATATTTTCACAGAGACTTCCCTTGTTATTCTGTCCAGATTATGTAACATATGAATGGTTGGTGTACTATAATTATCCTTTTGTTTTGTTCTAACATTTTTTTTATGTAATTGGTCATTATTGTTAATTAAATTGATGTCAATTAAACTATTTTTAGACATGCAATAGGTTGAGTCAGTTTGGATGACTTAACATTTAAATAAACTAGACAAATATTTTTTGAAGACTATGTAAGTAATTCCACATATTATTAAAGATGATATCGTCACGTTTAAAAGCTTATCTTTTTCGTTCTCGCTCCATTAACCAAAGAGCATGAGAAAAAGTAGGTTTTTGAAATTCTCCGTCGAACGAACTCAAGAAATAGCGAAGCAGTAGCAATGTCGATCTCGACCCCATTAGGCTTTATCATATAGTGGAATTGAACAATGAAGGGGTATTTTTGTGACACCCTTTCTCTTATAATCATGGTGTGAAATTTATCTTTAACGATCATGATTTTGTTGGCTTGACATACTTTGAGTATATTACTTGGGTTAAACGTTTTTTCATCCAAGAAGATTGTAAGAAACTTTACTAACGCGATCCATGTAAGCCTCTATTGTCTAAGATTAAGCCTATTGTGCAACGTACATACTTCAAACCAAAAATTTCATTTAAAAATAAAAGCATTTGTTCTAATAACTACTTTAAAGATCTAAATAAAACCATTTGATTCAAAACATTTATTTGAGTAAAGACATAAGAGTTATTAAGTGCGAAAATCTGTAATGGATGTGATGCAATCAAGCCACACCGTTCATTTGATGTAAGAAAACCTAGAACATTAAAAGATAAAAATGTAAGCACAAAGCTTAGTGAGTTCCCTAAAAATACCACATACCATACATAAAGTCACGAGTCTATTTCAACTCCAAGTGAATGCTATGGGCCAAATCATAGTCATACAATCACTTCCTTCCATGTGCCAAATCATTGTGTTTCCTTGTAGTGCTAAGGGCCAAATTGTGGTCTTACATACAAGTGCTAGAGGCCAGATCTTGACCTTTCATACAAGTGCCAGGGATCAGATGCTGATATTTCATACAAGTGTCAGGCGCTAGATCTTGGTCTTTCATATAATTACCATGGGCCAATTCTTGGTCTTCCACGCAAGAGTCACAAAGACAACTAGCATCCTACATAATATAGTGAGAAAACTCACCTTAACTATTCAAAAAACCTCAACAACACTGTTAGAAACAAAATAGCTAACACAAGCTTCCTAAAGCCAAACCAAGACCATTCCTTAGGCAAATACTTAATTCTACCTAAGTTTGACCAAAAGTCAAATTGGTAAAAAAATCAACGGTCAAAGTCAACTCAGCAGGCCACCACATCATGGAAAGACCATTTCCACATCATGATTTGCTCGATCAAAAAATGCAGTGGAAATGTCCACCACATCGTGGCAAGGCCTTGGCCATGTCATGGTCACGTTGGCAGTTCCATCTTTCCATTAAGTCATTAATCCATTAAGTCCTTTTCTTAAACTTTGCAAAAGGATTATTTGCAACCAAAAGAACCATACAAATCCTTACCTTATGGACATGCATGTCCAATACATGTCCTTCCTAAAACTAGGTCAAAATGGTGAGAAATAGGGTAAAAAACTCATGCATGACATCACAACAACTAATGAGGCCAGATCTGAAACATATAATACTCAAGGGACCTTATTGATCAATAAAGTTGCAAACTTCATTACCAACATCTCAAAAATTCCTAACAAGAAGAAACTAGCTTAAAAATATAGATTCAAAGAAAGTAAGCACCAAGGTTGAGACTTTATACCTCCCAAGAGTCTAGAAGATGATTAAAAGTAGAAGAGCTAGGTTGGAAAACTCCATCTTGATGCTCCAAATGAAGCCGCATTATTCAAGAATGCATCAAAACACAAAAAATGGATGGGAGGATAGGGAGAAGCTCATGGTATGAAGAGGTAGGCCAATGTTACTCCTACGAAGCGCTAGATGTGACAGAGGCTGATAAAAAGCCCTAAAATGTGGAACTTTGTCTTTAAATACATTGAAAACCCTAAAAATCATGGGCTTAGGCTGCACAATGACCACCTTGTAGTGACCTGCTCACCACCTTGTGGTGATGGGTTTTCCCTATTTTCCTTTTAACTTCAAACCACCATAACTTCTCCCTTTCAACTTTATTTTCAGTGATCTTTATATATACACAAAGGTATTATCAAGCTCCACACATCTATATAATTACTTTTGACTTATAACACACCAATCTAAATTCATTAATTTATGTAAGAAGTCCTGAAAGATCACCTTTTCCCATTTTACCCTTTTTGGATCCAAAATACAAATCAAGGGCTTAGATCACTTGAGAATTATTATCAACATCTAATAAGGTCTAAAATTTATTCCCTTGAAGCCTAAGGAATTTACATGGTTGAATCACGATCTACCATCCCGAAATAAGAAACATCTTGAAATTGGTTGTTACATATTGCAAATGATGGGGACTATGCATGTTTTAGTTTTATTCTTACAGAATAGATGATGAGATATCCCTTTATGTGGACAATGCTGGTGATGGATTAGATGCTTTGTTTGATTTTGAGAAAGAAGATGATGACAACGGTTCA